GAAGAAGAAGAAGAAGAAGAAGAAGAAGAAGAAGAAGAAGAAGAAACAACTGAATAGGGAGTGGCTCATGAACTAACATTCTAAGATCCATTTTACTATTTATGTCACCGTTATTGTGCCTTTTGTAACAGAAGCTCAAAGTGACCTACTTATTCCTCCCTTCTCCTGTCAGAACAATCCTACAAGGTAGTTTGGCCTGAGGGAGAATGAATGGTTTCAAAGTTCCCAAGGAATTTCCATGATTGAGAGGGAACTTAGAACCTGGATTTCCCTGTTCCTCATCCAACATCTAGACAATACAATAGTTCTGTTTCGCTGTCCTGTTCATGGAATTTGCCTAATCTGTTTTAAAGCCATCTGGGCTGATGGCCTTCAACTTATAACCAATGAATTCCCTACAGGAGTTATATGCAACATGGAAAATGTGCTTTCCCCCCTTAAATTCAGTATAGCAGACATATAATTAAGCTCTGATCATGAGAGTCTGGGGACACTTTAACTGTGTTTGGGTACCTACAAGAAGAACAGGAAAAAGATCTATACCAGGGGTGTCAAACTCAAAGCCCGTGGATCGGATTTGGCCTGCAGGGTGTTTAAATCTGGTCTGTGGGGCTGGCCTAGAAATATCAAAGGACCAGCCCGCAGTGCCTCTGCTGGTCAAAAGAGGCTGGTCATTTTTGGCTAGGAGGTAGGGAGGCCAAAAACGGACCATGCAGGGGCTTTCTGGGGCCTTTGTATGGCCAATTTTCAGCCTGGAGAGCGGTGCAGGAGGCCAGGGCGGCCAAAAATGTGGTGCAGGGAGCCACATGTGCCCCTAACCTCTGTTTTGGCTAGCAGGGTGCTGCAGGAGGTATCTGTCCCATCTCTCCACCGCTCTCCACCCCCACCCAATCCACTGAGGAGAACTACAATGCTGATCTGGCCCTCGAAGAAATCCAGTTTGATACTCCTGGTCTACACCAAAAGGCTTTTGGGCTTTTGCTGAGTATGGTGTAAATACACCTCACAGAACCAATAAGTGATTAATGTGTAGAATTGTGTCAGGAAATTCCATATACTATGATAATAATTGCCTAACACACTTTGTCAAGTTGATTAGGGAAGCAAAAGAGAATTCTTTCTCTTCTAATAAGTCTACAACAATTTCTAGACTTTCCTAATTTTGGGTTACTCAGAGAAGATAAGAAAAAGTGATTTTTGTCTCCAGATTCCAAATTATTAGAAAAGATCTCAGTTTCATCTATTCTTGACCCACTGAAATGGCATGAGTTTTTGGGCCTTATAGATCTCATTAATTGGCATTATTCATAATGGGTGAATTCCATATGGTCATAGTTTCCTTCCAATTCACAGTAAACAACTTGATGTGTCCTGCTAAGACAGAGTTTTACAATCATAATTTATTGCTCAAAAGTCATGGTTGGTTTTCCACAACTTGCTAAAAATGAGACATGATTTTAGCCCTTTTCCTTTGATGTTCTGAATGTTAGATAATTGGACAGCAGGCTCAATTGTTTCTTCTCTTTTGGCCGAGCGGTAATAATTAAAAGCAAGGAATTTAGCAAATGCCTTGCTGAGCCCCTAAATTCAGAGATTAGTGGAACAAAGTAGAGGCAGTAGATGGCCCTGAGAAAACGAAGTTGTCAGCATTCCAATGAAACTCCCCATTTCATTCAGCACTCAGAAACAAAGTTCATCCAAGTAAGAATTTATTAGAGAAATCAGACTGGCGCATCTGGGAAAACCGGAATCTGAGAGTTCTGGGTTTTCCCTTTGTAATTGAAAATCAAAATCACATCCCCATATTTTATCTAGAAGCTTCCACGCTGCCAGAAGGAAACATTGTGTGAAGACTTAAAAGGCATCTAAGATGCTTCCATAGCAATTTCACTCATGGAAGTACATTGGTGTGGTTCTCTCTTAAAACATCCCCTTTCTTTTCAAAATATCCTACTGATCCTAGAGTTATCCTTTGCTGGTCTTTCCCAGAAATATCCATCCCCCCCCCCCTGTTTTAATCTGTGTGGATCTGTTGATTTTTGTTGTTTGAATGTTTGAAAAAATCTGGGATTTTTTTCATCCCTAAAATATTTGACTCTGGTTAGCTGGCTAGGGGTGGCATTGGGAGAGATGAGGAAGGTGAGGTAGAAGGAGACCTTTGATTTAGAACAGGGGTGTCAAACTCACCTCACGGCAGCGTCACATGACATATCGGGACTTTTTTCCCCTTTGCTAAACTGGGTGGGGGTGGGGCCAGCATGTGACTCATCAGGCCCATGAGCCGTGAGTTTGACACCCCTGTGTCAACTCATACAATATTTCAGAAAGGGAGGGGGAAGCAGTGGGCAGCTTGCATTCCATACATATTTTCAAAGATAGTGATTAGGTGACTGAAGTTTCTGCCGCATGTAATTCTAACTGGAGAATATGATTGATGACTCTTGGCTATGGATGTGTCCCATTGGAGAATATGAATTTTGATACACCCAGGGGGGTGGGGGGAAACCAGGGTCAAGGGTGACAATGAATTATGTGTCTCAGAGTTGGCTACACCCAGGCAGTGCCGTACATGTAAATTCCCAATAAATCTTTTTGGAGTTTGGCTAGAGACTCGTGATTTAAATGGGGTTAAGTGTCAGAATCCTGACAGCCTGATTTAGAAGATAATGCAGTTGTCTTCTAAATCAAAGGGGAAAGGAAGGCCAAAGGAAGTCAAAGATGTTGGGAATGTAAGTCACCTAACAGCTATTTGGGTTGGAAATATATAAACCAGGACAGACATTTTAATACTGTATCTATAAGAGAGTCCTGGAGGTGTAATTGGGTGTGGTTTCTCAAACGGCCATAAGATGGAGCCAGAAACCTGGGTTGTCTTAGTCTTAGTCTCAGAAGAGAGTGTGTCTCAGTGTTTTTCCTTCTGTTGGAAAGTATTGCTGTTCCTCCATTTTTCCTAATTGACTGTTATTCATGGATTTGATGTAAGTCTGTTACTGAACTGTTTTTGACACTGGACTTTGTTATTGGATTATTCCTGGATTGGAAACTGACTGATTTAACCTGTGAATGACTTTGGACTGCTTGTTTTTGAACTTTGCCTAAAACCTTTATTGAAAGTAAAAAAACCTACATTTACTGTACAGTGTATCTGTGTGCTGTGTGTGTATATTCAAACACTACTCTCAAATACGTCTCCCTGTATGCGCTAATTCTCCTCATGGGGAATTACCTCAACAAAAGACACCCATGACAATGGTGTGCATGGAGAAACACAAAGAATGGAGAAGTGCTGAAGGTAGTCTGAAAGTCTTCAGTATGATGACCCCTTTGGTCCATCATCTCATGGATGGAGGAGAAGCTGTCCATTCCACTTATCGATCAAGAACCAAGCATGAACCTTCTCTCTAGCAAAATTTGCTTTAGGAAAAGTGAAGAGTTCAGTATTCGTGTCACCATCAAAGAATGCTATGAGGCCTTGTGAATAATCCAGAGAAACTCGGATCCTTTTCAGAGGATGGCACACTGTTAAATTCGTTCTGGGATGGGTGATCGCGTCATACCATCCCCCATATCCCTGGATTCCCCAGTAGCCCCCATTATTATCGTAACGAATCGGCGAGTTTCTTTTTGAAGTTTCCCTTACAATTCCCACCCCCCACCACTCCCCTTCCTCCACCACCTCTACCTCCCAGCATATCTTCCCAGAATTGAAGCTCTGATGGCTTATGACACAAGACATAGCGTCGAATCTCAGAGGACTGGCATTCACATGCTGTTGCATGTCTTTCCATCTCACACTTTTCAAATCAGGAGATACGTAGAGGTTGGGACTAGCTGTGTTTGGATCCAGAGTCAGATGTGCTGTGTGGAAGAAAGAAAAGTTGCTGTGGGAGAAGGAATTATCAACTTTCTCATGCCACCTGGTTTATTTAATTAATAAGAAATATTGTAACTGGTGGTTAAGTTATGCTGAAATTATATCTTCTAAAAGGCCAAGAGGCTTGCTCACCAAACTGGTAGCTCTATCTTTCTCAAAAAAGAATAAAAAAATAAAATAAAAGCCCTATTCCAATGATGGGGGAAAAAATAAGTTAGTTTTTTTAATTCCTGGGAAACCTGGAGGCTAATACTCAAGAAAAGTAAGTTAGCTTAAGAAAAAAAAATTCTAAGCTAATTATTAGATGAAGGCTTTCTAACAGGGAGCCCTGGGAGCAAAGTAAATTTAGCCAAGAAATTATAGACAATTACATCAAAAAGTTTAATTTCAGTATAATTTCAAACAATGGTTGTTCTTTGCTCCATAAACTAAAATGTATTTTATTTTCTACTCAACAGGCCACTGCCAAACCCCTACTATTTATTTCCCAGCCAGGGAGGGGCTGGCTAGCATCTACGACTTTTTTCCCCTGAGAGCCGGCTGATTGCCTTCCTTTGCTCTCCTCTCCTCTCCTCTCCTCTCTATGCATACACACATCTGGGATGGTCCCCAGCTGTCCTCCTCACTCAGCTCAGGGCAGCTGCCTCTCCACCTGAGGGAGGACAGAAGGCCCCAGCTCTGCCTCTGCCTCTGATTCTGCTTCCTCCTCAGAGCCTTTCGAAGGCTCCAAAGCTGGCCTAGGCTCCCCCTCAACCTCCTCCTTGCCCGATTCCTTTGCTGGCTCTGCTGGCAGTCGACGGGCCAAAACAAATGGAGCCCAAAATATATGTTGCTAAATGAAACCTTTGTTAAGTGAGTTTGCCCCATTTTATGACTTTTCTTGCCACCATTGTTAAGTGAATGTTTGCCTTTGTTAAGGTAGTTACATGGTTGTGAAGTGAATCTGGGTTTCCCATTGGCTTTGCTGGTCAGAAGGTCGCAAAAAACTGATCACCTGACCAGGGACACTGCAACCTTCCTAGACATCAGCCTCTTGCCAAGCGTCCGAATTTTGATCACATGACTGTGGGGATGCTGCAGCGGTTTTAAGTGTAAACATCAGGCATAAGTCACTTTTTTCAGTGCCTTTGTATCTTGGAATGGTCGCTAAATGAACTGTTGCGAGTCGAGGACTACCTGTAGCCCTTCCCCACCAGAGGTCTTCGGCAAGATCTGAGCACTCGGTGTTCCTTGCTCTATTTTGCAGTTCTGTGCCCATTTTGATAGGGAACCTCACTAGTGGTGGGATTCAAATATTTTTACTAACAGTTCTGTGGGCGTGGCTTGGTGGGCGTGGCAGCAAATGGATACTGCAAAATCCCCATTCCTTCCCCACCCCACCAACCTGCTTTCCAGCTCCATTCTCCTGTGCAGGGCAACAAAAGAAGACCCAGCCAATCAGCTGGGGCTCAGGAGGCAGAGAATAGATGGGGTTGGCAGGGCCAGTCAGAGGTGGGATTTTCCGGTTCTCTGAACTACTCAAAGTTTCTGCTACCAGTTCTCCCGAACTGGTCAGAACTGGCTGAATACAACCTCTGAATCTCACTGGCAGAAATAGCAGAATTTCAGTAAAAATAGACTGTCCTTGTCAATGAAACAAAATATATTTCTTGAAATCATTTACAGGAAATCCTGGATTTTGTTTAGTGACTGTCAAAGTTACAATAACGCTGGAAAATGCGATTTATGACCAATCCTCCACTTATGACCGTTGTGCTATCTCCATGGTCGCATGATCAAAATTCAGTCACTTGGTAACTAGCATACATTTATGATGCTTGCTGTGTCCTGGGATCATGTGATCACCATTTATATAATCTTTATCATCACCTTAAGGAAAGCAGAGTCAATGAAGGAAACTGGGTTGCCTTAATCACTGCAGGGTTCTCTGAACAACTGCATTGATTCACTTAGTGACCATGGCAGAAAAGGTCATAAAATGAGGCAGGGCTCACTTAACAACGGCCTTGCTTAGCGATGGAAATTCTGTTCCCAATTGCCATTGTAAGTTGAGGACTACATGTAATCCTCCACTTACGAACAGTTCATTTAATGATTGTTCAAAGTTACAACGGAACTGGGAAAAATGGACTTATGACAGTTTTTCACAGTTATGACCATTGCAGCATTCCCCATAATCATGTGATCAAAATTCAGATGCTTGGCAGCTGGTTCATATATGTGACCATTGCTGTGTCCTAAGATCACATGATCTCCTTTTGTGACCTTCTGACAAGCAAAGTCAATGGGAAAGCCAGATTCTTCTCTGGTTTTTTGCAATACATTTTTTACTTTTTTTCTTGCCTTTACAAACATGTTTTGTGAGCAGTGTGGTTACAGGGAATTTTACATTTTAAAACAAACATGACAATAATTTCATATCAAAACTGTTAACTTAATAATTAATATTAATACAAATTATGTATCCTGGTTATTCCAAATTCCCATATGTTGTTTTTATATCAATCTCTATATTCTTAAGATCACTTTTGATTATGCATATATATGACTAGTTGTATTTGCAGTGTTTAACGAATTATATATAACCATTCATAAATTCATGTTAATTTATATTCCCTCTTGTTTATCCCCCTTTTAGTTCTTAGCTGTGCCACTAGCATGTTTAAAACAAAGTCCCTTTTGTTAGGAATGTAAGTCACCTAACAGTTGAGTTGGAAAATATATAAACCAGGATAAACATTTTAATACTGTCTCTTTAAGGGAATGCTATGAATTGTATTTGGGTGTGGTTCCTCAAACGGTCATAAGATGAAGCCAGTAACCTGGGTTGTTCTGTCCTGTTGTTGAGAGTGTTGCTGTTCCTGCATTTTTCCTTATTGACTATTACTGATCGTCGTTATTCTTGGGTTTGATGTGAGTCTATTTACTGAACTGTTTTTGATACTGGACTTTGTTCTTGGATTATCCCTGGACTGAAAACTGACTGCTTTAACCATGAATGACTTGGACTGTTTTGTTGAACTTCGCTTAACTTTTTACTGGAAGTAAAAACCTACATTTTTACTATACAGTGTATCTGTGTGCTGGTTGTGTGCTAATCTTCACCACTCTCACTACATCTCCCTGTGTGTGCTCATTCTCCTAATGAGGAATTACCTAAACACTGGTTATGGGCCCAGGCCATACCTGGCTCAGATAACTGAGAGTTAGTGTGAATACACAGTATTGTATACAAACAGCTGTTTACTGTTTGATTGTGGTTTACTGTCCTGGTAAAGATGGCACAAGACACTTGAACAAGTCTATCACCGATAACCCAGTTGGATGGAACAAACTATGTTTCCTGGTCTATGAAGTGAAGTCTACTTCTGCGTAGAGAAGGTTTATGGAATGTAGTTCAAGACCCACCGGATGTAAATGCTTGGGATCCAGATAATGAGGACGATGCCAAGAAGTTAGCTGATTTTAAACGGAACAATGAACGAGCTCTTTGTATAATTGGACTAATACTGAGTGACCAGCAGCTAGTCCATATTCGTGGAGAAGAGTCTGCTGCTAGGTGTTGGGAGAATTTGAAGAGGATTTATGTTCATGACAGTGTAGGTGCACACATACATCTTACATGTAAACTGTTTAGAGCACATCTTCTGAAAGGTGGAGATATGTTAGCTCATTTGAACTTCATGAAAAGAACTTTTCAAGAGCTACATGAAAAGGAACTGATATTTTCAGAGCTGCATCAAGTTTATGTCATTCTTTCCTCATTGGATGAAAGTTATGATGATTACATATCTTCACTGCCCAGAGATAAACTGAAATTGACTGACATAACTGGAAGGTTGTTAGAAGAGGCAAGAAAACGGCTGGATAGGGACCAACTGAGGAAAGAACAACCACAAGAGGAGGATTTGTGTTCAACTGCTTATACTGTTAGGAAATGTTTTTCTCATGGGGCTAGGGGATAGTATAGCTAGATTCTGTAAGAAGGGAAAATGACAGGATACTGGTAATCACCAAAGGCAAAGAAGAATGTTAGTTTAGCTATGTCTAGCAATTCAACTGTAAACATGATTTGTGGGTTGTTGATAGTGGAGCATCGCAGTGCATTACTAAAGATAGAGAGAGGTTTGTAAAGATGTCTACGAGTAAGCAACATGTATCATTGGCAAATGGATGGAAGATGAAAGCAGTGTATCTGTGTGCCGGTTGTGTGTTATTCTTCACCACTCTCACTACGTCTCCCTGTGTGCGCTCATTCTCCTAACAGGGAATTACCCTAACAGGGAATTACCTCAATACCTTTCTAATCTCATTTTAGCACAAACAAAATAATATTCTTCCTATTTACATTTAGCAAATTATTCTAGCAATAATATGATCACATTTAACTAATAGCCTATTTGGGAAGCCAGATTCATTCAACAACGGTGGCAAGAAAGTTCGTAAAATGGGGCAAAACTCACTTAAGAAATGTCTCACTTAAGAGTAGAAATTTTGGGTTCCATTGTGGTCATAAGTCAAGGACTACCTGTTTATGAGCTTTTATGCTGCGTCTCTTTGAAAGCGGAGATGGAAAGCATCCCATTTTACCGTATGCTGGAAAAGGCAGGCCTTACCTGTTACACTGTCCTTAGCTGATCCGCAAGGAATACAGTTCTTGACGCAGCTGGGGATTGGCTCCAATGGATGATTCGGAAGACCGACTTTCTGTGAACCTTAAGAAATAAGTCAACTTTAGAGCCTGAATGCCATCCAAGATCATTTATCCTGGATCACAAAATAAATACCTTTGTGATCATTTATCCTGGTTCACAAAACAAACGCCTCAGCTAAATAGAAAACATTGGAATCTTGTAGGTTTTGTTGTTGGGGGATGGTTTAAAGAGTTATTTTAAAAATAAAAGCCCTATGAATAAGAGCAAAACATCGCACACTACATTTGTCTAGGATTGTTATTATGATTAATCTTCAATCAATGGTGGGATTCAAATTCTTTTACTACCGATTCTGTGGGTGTAGCTTGGTGGGCGTGGTGTGGTTTGGTGGGTGTGGCTTGGTGGGTGTGGCTTGGTGGGTGTGGCAGGGAAAGGATACTGCAAAACCTCCATTCCCTTCCCACCCCACTAACCTGCTTTCCAGCTCTGTTCTCCTGTGCAGGGCAACAACAGGAGACCCAGCCAATCAGCTGGGACCTGGGAGGAAGAGAATAGATGCCAGTCAGAGGTGGTATTTGCCAGTTCCCTGAACTATTCAAAATTTCCTCTACCTGTTCTCCAGAACTGATCAGAAACTGCTGAATACTGTCTTCAATTTGATTCACAAATGGGATTCTAGGACTGGTGAACACTAAACAGTTCAAGTCCTAACCAAGGACCAAAGAAGTAGGGTCTGAGTATACAGGGCAGGTAGTTCTGAGTGAGGTGGGGGTTTTTGTGTGGCAAAGTCGGGATATTCAGGTCTAATAAGTTCAAAATTTCCAAATATCTAGGTAGCCCTTTGGGTATTGCTCCAAGGGCTCCTATTACTGTTGGTACAACCACTGATTTCTTCCTCCACAATCGCTCAACTTCAATTTGTAAATCACAGTATTTTGTTATTTTTTTCTAGCTGATCTCTTCAATTCACGCATTGCCTGGTATTGTTGTTGTTGTTATTATTATTGATGATTGCACAGTCAGCCAGGTGTTCAGACCGGGTGTGGCATTTTTGCCTACCTATCGAGTTCTTACCAAGGGCCTGGGATTGACAGAACTGGATGTTTGACAGTGTTACAGGTATTGTCACAGGATGGAAGCTGTTCCCAGTAAAGCCGCCTTTTGCAATAGACTGATTGCATATTTGTCAATGCAATGATGTTCAAGTGGTGGGATTGCACCCAAGGCTCCTATTACTGTTGGTACCACCCTTGCTTGCCTTTACCACAGTCGTTCTATTTCTATCTGTAGGTCTTTGTATTTTGTTATCTTCTCCAGTTCTTTCTCTTCTATTCTGCTGTCTCCAGGCACCTATCACATAACACCACGGACTTAACAATTGTTGATAAGA